AATATTAATTTAAAAGAGATTTCTGAGGGGTGTACTTATATAAGCTGAATATTTAGATGTTTTGGTTACACTTTACAATACGCTTTCATTAGTTAAAGGGTTAGTTCACCCAAAAACTCTAATGTACTCACTTTCAAGTGATTCCAAACATTAATGAGTTTCTGCTGAACACAAAAGATATTTTGAAGAAAGCAAAAATCCTGTAAACATCCACTTCCATAGTAGGTTTCCAAACATTCTTCAAAATATCCTATTGTGCATTCAACAAATGACACTCAAAAACACGAAAAGGGTAAGTAAATGATGACAGATTTTCATTTTTGGGTGAACTACCCCTTTAAAATGCTAATGTGTTTACTAAGATTGAAAAATAATTGTACAGCATTTATTGATCATTGCTCAACATTTATTATTTATAATATAAAAACCCAGGTGTGCTTGTTAACAATGCTGTGACTTAAGAAGAACTAATAAACACAATAAATATGGTTACAAATTGACAGAGGTAAAGTTAGTTTTATATTCACACATTCATTCATTTTAGAACAGTAAGAACTTGTGATGCACTACTTTGAATGTTTGGTCTTATATCCGATGTAAATATGACATCAAAACAACATTAGCACTATTTAACTGAATATAAACATTATTGTACTTTGATAGTCTTTAGCAGCTAATATGATTTCACGATTTAGAACTGGCAAAGGATACTTTAGTGAAATTATATTAGGAAGGTTAAAGTCCAAATGTGCAAATATAAAACCAGCTTTACCCCAATTACAAATTGACTGTGTCAGTAAATACATAAACTAATGAAACATTATAGTAAAGTCTTAACTAAGTTCTACTATTCCCTCTGCTGAATACTTTAAAATATGTGAGATGCCAGAATTTAGTGTTATTTACTCCATTTGGTCTCATGTGATGTTTATAGATTTTATGCTGCACCAATAATTGCGTTTTGGGCTTTTAATAATAATAATAATAATAATAATAGCAATAAAATTGAACTTAATAAATTTCTGGAGTTTTTAACTACAAATAACTCAATTACAGTGTTTTTAAAGAAACCTACTCAAAGCAGAACATCTGCACACTTATCTGTATTTGTTATCATCCCCAAGTCAACCTACAATAAAATGTAATACTATATCTGATAAGACCTTACAGTATATGCGAATTATGAGCTATTATCTGTTGGTTGTGAACCCAGTAATTAACCTGAATGACTGCAAAACCTGCTCAAAACCTTAGCTCTCAGGTTGTAACATTATCTCTGTATAAGCTAGTAGTGTTGTAATGCACTAAGTACAAAAATAAGAAGAAATATTTCCATCAAAATATGGCGTGTAATGTTTATTTTAATTTCAGCTCGCAAGCAGGAACTAACAGTTAGGCCTGCGAGCAGCAGTGTTATGCTAAAGCCGGCTAATCCAATTTTGGCTATTTCGGAGTGTCTACCAAATATGTAATCATATCCAGTGATTAAATACTTCTCTGTGTACCTGGTAGGCTTGAGGATCTCTTCGATCATTACACCTGTGAAAGACAAGAAAAGTTAAAACAGTCAGAAACGCGCTTACTGCTAGCCAGCTAACACGCTAGCGCAGAGAAACATCAACAGCTCGCTATCAGAGGAAAACACTACTTCGAAACAATTGTTTCAGACAGGTTATGCGATAGGAATAGGATTTCAAATACAAGCTGAAGAGGGTGTAAACTGGAGGTAAATGTCTGTTTACCCATCATTGAGTCTGGATGGATTCGTTGCATGCATTACCATTAATGCTGCAACGATGTGGAAGTGAAGTGTTACTACTGAAGCAGTTCTGCTGAACCACAGCTCTCTTTACTACTGCTGTCTGCAAACAAACACCGGTAAAATCGGTCAAAGTAGCTCTTCTGCAGTGCTGCTTCGCTATTCGGGAAAGAGCTGACGGTCCATCTCTTCGTTTTGGTTGCGACTGCGCCCCGCAAGTGCACGAGCAGCTCGCGACAAGCCAGGCTCGCGGTCAGCGTGCACGAGCGGAGGCTGCAAATATGATTTAATAATAAAGTATAAAAAGAATAATATAGAATAGAATAAAATAGAATTTTGTGTTTTTTATGCAATAATAGACGGCACATGTATAGTATAGTATAGTATAGTATAGTATAGTATAGTATAGTATAGTATAGTATAGTATAGTATAGTATAGTATAGTATAGTTGGCAAATAGGCATTAAAACACTTTGAGATAAAAAAAATTGTTCTAGTTCAAGTTTAAAGTCTGGTGCTGGAGAAAATATAAGGGGTCATTAACTATCAATTATTTCACATCTTATTTATTTATTTATTTATTTATTTATTTATTTATTTATTTATTAGCTTTTTACTGAATTGTACTGTAAAATGTTCTTTGGTTTGACAGCAAAAATTAAGAAAAACAACTTATACAATTAGCATGAGAGAGAATATTTATTTTATATAAAATTATGAATAATAGATTTATGGACATTTTCAATAGACGATATACATGTCACACCAAAGGACAACACATTTATAGTCGTTCCCAAAAGATAAATATGTATATAAAAAAAATAATAATAATAATAATTAATTAAAAAAATATTGTAAAATGATGGTTTGTTCTGTAGACAGTCAAAAAAATATATAGTTTAAAGGGGCTAATAACTTTGACCCTAAAATGTTTTTTTTTTTAAGTTAAAAACTGCTTTTTTTCTAGCAGAAATGCAACAAATAAGACTTTATCCAGAAGAAAAAACATTATCTGACATACTATTAAAATTTCCTTGCTCCTTCTCCCCATGTTGGCGTGGGTTTCCTCTGGGTGCTCCGGTTTCCCTCACAAGTCCAAAGACATGTGGCATAGGTGAATGGGGTATGCTAAATTGGCAGTAGTGTATGTGTGGGAATGAAAGTGTTTTCCTGTGATAAGTTGCAGCTGGAAGGATATATATAAACATATGCTGGATAAGTTGGCAGTTCATTCTGCAGTGGCGACCCCTGATTAGCAAAGGGACTAAGGCGAATAGCAAATAAATTAATGAATATATGTGTGTGTGTATACAGTATATATATATATATATATATATATGAGAAAAATATGAGACAGAATCTTAACAAGTGCTCGTCATAGGCTTCAGATTTTGAATGGGGTCCTTCAACTATTTAAAATTTAGCATAGAAATTAAAAAAAGAAAAACTTGCACATAGTATCACACCAGAGGTCATGATTTGCAGTGACAAAATATATCAAGTTCCTATGTTTAAATAATATATATGGATGAAGAAATGATTGCCACTTACTAAAATAGCCACTTGCAAAATTGTGTTATTTATTAATGCCTTTTTGATTTTATATTTGATTTATAAGGTGGCTCAGCGGTTAGTACTGTTACCTTACAGCAAGAAGGTCGCTGGTCCGAGACCCGGCTGGGCCAGTTGGCATTTTCGTGTGGAGTTTGCATGGGGTCCATTTACTGCATTTTAATTGATTATAATACTAATTATATGATTTTTTGCAGTGTTTATATATATATATATATATATATATATATATATATATATATATATATATATATATATATATATATATATATATATATATATATATATATATATATATATATATATATATATATATATATATATATATATATATATATATATATATATATATATATATATATATATATATATATATATATATATATATATATATATATATATATATATATATATATATATATATATATATATATATATATATATATATATATATATATATATATATATATATATATATATATATATATATATATATATATATATATATATATATATATATATATATATATATATATATATATATATATATATATATATATATATATATATATATATATATATATATATATATATATATATATATATATATATATATATATATATATATATATATATATATATATATATATATATATA